TCCCTCCCCCCTCCCTCCCTCATTAAGTATTGATGTGGGTAGCCATACTTGCCATCTCAGCCTATTAATAATGCATGGCAGGTGCTCTTGATTTGGTCCCTCACACTGAGATTGAGAGAGGCAGGAATGGCAACACTATGCTGCATAGTAGCTACAGCATAACCTCNGTGTGTGTGTGTGTGTGTGTGTGTGTGTGTGTGTGTGTGTGTGTGTGTGTGTGTGTGTGTGTGTGTGTGATGCGTTTGCTCGTGCATGATTATATCTAACTTAGATATAATCATGCACGAGCAAACGCATCACACACACACACACACACACACACACACACACACACACACACACACACACACACACACACACACACACACACACACACACACACACACACACACACACACACACACACACACACACACACACACACACACACACACACACACACACAGAGAAAAGACATGTCAAGAGAAACACAGTAAGCAGCAACGTGCCTTGGACAATTGCTTCATCGAGAACAGGGAAGAACAAAAAAAGTGGAAAAACAAGAGAGCAGAGAAGATAAATGGACAGACCAGAGTTCTGTCTCATTTCAAGGGCCAGCCCACTGCTGTGCACATTACAAGTATATGATGTAACACAAGAACTCGTGCATTTATCCCTGACAACTTTTAAATGCATGACAGCTGGTTAGTGGTAGACTCTCTTCTTCAAGTGAGGAAGAGAAAGCCTCTTATGATGTGAATAACAAACTGTCTTTCTCTGCCGCGCTCTTTTTTTTCTTCTTTGTTTGTGTTCTGATTTATGATCTCTCTGGCGCAAGAGGCTAAATCTGAATGAGAGAAAGGAGAGAGGGAAAAAGAGGGAGTGAAGTAGAAAGCGAGAAGAGAAAGAAATGATAGAAAGATAGACGGACGGACGAGGTGGAGAGTACGTGAAATCCGAAAGGAGAGACAGACCACCCTCCTGTATATTTTAGAAGCTGTAGGCCAATTCCTCAATAATTCATGAAGCACAGAGATGGAGGCTTTTTTTTCCACAGTGGCTGTTGGACCCCACAGGCTGAGGGTCTCCCAACTTTCTTATCTCCTCGAGGTCAGAGAGCAGCCTCACAGACAGCTGTGGACCACATCCACTTGTCTAACATACTCCACCTAACTCACCGCGCGCCTCCTGTTTTATTCATTGACTCCGCTCTCTTCCCCAACTGTCCTCCTCTGAGGTATTCACGATGGACGGATGATGGATAAGTTGCTAGAGGAAAGTCGGGGTCACCACAGTCAGAGGTGACAAAATCAGGGGGTTAAATATTAGAGTTTGGGTTGGAGAGGAGGCGGTGGAGGAAAAGGGGAAAGTGAGACTCTACCGAGATATCGAGTGCGAAAAAGTCAGCATGCCTCATTCGCTTAGCCATATGTCAGAGTGTCCCCTCGACCTCCTGCACGCGTGAATCATCTGATTCATTATTTACACGACTTAAGGTGTCAGCTGCACGGAAAACATTACAAAACTGCAGCATGTTGATTCCTCTGTGCTCTATCATCTTCCCTGGAATCACCGCTGCACACATTTACATGGATCAACAGAGTGTGGGTGTATGGGGAAGGGGGGTGGATGAAGAGCAGTGCGTGTTGATATGCAATAGCAAAGAGATTACCATAAGGATTTATGGATAATCTGATTGACAGCTGACCAGTAAATATGGACAGATATCTGAGGATAGTCTGTAATTCCCTCGTTTGCTCAGTTCAGCTCTCTATTATTATGTTTTCCTCGCTTTTTAATCAATGAAAAAGGTGATTTTAAGAATGTTGCTCTGTTAGTCATGTTGTCTTTAAAATCCCTTTTTCAGAAGGACCCCCATAACGTTATCCAATAAATTCCTCTTTAACGACACCACCCGGTATTCCAAATGAGTTCATTTAAACAGATTTTTAAAGTTAAAGGGGACCTATCATGCAAAATGCACTTTTGTACGTCTTTTATACATGAATATGTTACCCCGGTGTGTCAGGGAACCCACCAAGTGTCAGAAAACACAACCCTCTCTCTTTTCTTCCATACCCAAATCTCTAAAAATGGGTCTGCAACGGATCTGATACAGACTGATACAGATTTGAAATGGTTCTGACGTCAGAAACAAGGAGCTCCGCCTATATGGGCAACTCTTCACCTATCAGGGGAATGAGAGGTTGCGTGGCATGGTAACAGCATTGCAGGGGGGCGTGGTCAGCTGCAGCTCATTTGCCACAGAATCAGCCCTTGCAAAAACAGGGCTGGAATACAGCAAATAGAGCGAAATGAAGCATGGCTAAAATGCCTGATATGTTTGGTATTTTGAAAAAAAACTTCACAGACATGTTTTATATAGGTATGGCCCTACAATATATTATTCAAATATAGCATGATAGGTCCACTTTAAAACACCCAATACTTACCTAAAGTGTGACTTTGTGGAGATGTGGACAAAGCTTTGGAACAGCACATTAATATCTAGTGAGATAAAATGATTAATGATCTACTTCAATTGTATCTTATCTTAAAACAAAAAGTTTTGGTAGGTCTATGGAAAATGTTGTCTTCTGCATAGGTTGTTTTGATTATTGCCCCTCTACCTTGTTTGTTTTTGAGACTCTTGCTGGTTTCAAGCTGTTTTACTGTGCAGGCTCCACAGCTACGAATATTACCACAGCAAATTGCAGCGCGGGCTCGGATTAAATGAAATAAAACCATTTCGCTCTCACGTAATTACCCCCAAATCCAGGAATGGCTGTGGAAGTGAATTTGTGTAAATAACTGCTTGGCCTCTTGAAGCCTCGTGGCGTACATTTGTAGCAGGGGAAAAAAACAACGAATAAACAAATACAGCCGGTCGCCGTAGTAATTTAATGATCTCACACTTTCATCACATCATAACGGGCATTATTTGTCACATTGGAGCAATTAAACACAAAATCACCCTCTGCATAAAAAACAAAACAAGGAAAGCAATTATAACACAACTTTTAAGTAATCCCTGTAGCATCTAAATATTATTACTGTGGAGATAAAGATTGTCTAAGCGATTAGCTAACTGCAAGGAAGCCTCCGAGGGACAATTCTGTTATATTTTCTAATAATTTTCCTACATTAGCAACAAATGAGGTAAAGAGTTGTTTTCCTTGTCAATTTCAACACAGATAACTTCTGAACTGTGCGCTTTTATCTTCCCAAGTACTTCTAGTTTATTTATCTGTTCAGCCTTTTGTTACACGTTGTGCTGTATATCTTTCTGCCTCATTTCTTTATCCTTGCCCCGCCTCTCTGTTGTTTTGTTCTGATGTCGATGCGCTGTAAAAATGGCTGTGGGTGATGCCATAACTCAGCCCTCTCCCTTTCCCTCCATCCATCTCTGCCTCACAGATCATCTCCAGAAGAAAAGCACTGTGTCTGCCTCCTAATATGCTTCATGAGGTGTGTAATTCAGTGTGCTCCGGAGGGGAGCCATTTGTCTCGGGGGTTAACTAAGTGACACAACAGCACTTCCCCACGCCTGTTACCACCGTGGGACATGTTGAACTAATCTAGGCAGGTATAGGAATGGAAGACCCCCGCACAACGGCAATTAAACATCACCATTTGTTCAGGAAATCCAACCTGATGAAGTCAGAGCCAAGTTCAAATTAAGTGTAAATATTTGTAGGCAAATATAATGTTATAGCGGAAGAGAAATAAGTGAGAAATAGGCGACTAAAATGAAAGTGAAGTCTGGCGCTCTCAGAGAACCAAATATCTTCCTCAAGTCCTGTTTTGTGTATTTTCTTTACCTCCCCTTGTGTGTTTCACTTCTCTTTCTTTTCTCTGCAATTCTTTCCTTCGCTCTTTCCGCTATGCATCACTGCCACTTCAGCCAAGAGCCTGAATGGCTTGTTTTCGTGGTGACCTGTCTCCCTTCCTGCAGTATATGTTTAAGCGTGGAGGCACGCACACACATACACACACTAATTTAGGGAGATTTATGAGGGGGGCCTTGCACCAGGAGCCATGCAGGCTGACCCCAGGGGTGTAGAGGGGCACTGGGTGGGGGAGGGGGCCTGGCTCCACAGGGGGGGACATTAATAATCCAGAACCAGGTCTGTCTCTGGGCCTGGCCCTGAGCCTCTGACACCAGGCTGTAACCGGCTGCAGTGGCCCAGTTTACTCGTAGACACATCCAGTTCAACATGCCGTTCTAATATCAGACACAGAGACAAAGATTGACTAAAAAACACGAAACATAAAAGAAAAACATGCCAAAACACATATTGAACACACAGCAATGTGTACGTGTACACACACACACACACACACACACACACACACACACACACACACACACACACACACACACACACACACACTTCGCCTCCATTCCTTTGGAGTGCTACTCCTCAAAGTAGCAGCGAGCACCTCTATATTGCCCTCATGTCTATCTTAAGTGTCATGATTTATTCAAATAGAACATCTCACAGCGCTGAAAAATTCATTTCCAGCTCGCTTCGTGCATCGCCCCATCCTCCTCTACGTCTCTATCTGCTCATGTCATGTCAGCTGAATTTGCTCCGTTGTTAAATATTTCTTAGAACAAATGGACCCTGGAGGAGGGAGACGATGGGTCATGGAGGATCGGCGCTGTGCCTTTGCCGCTGAGGGACAG